TCATTTTCCATGACAATAGTGGACACCTGAAAATACAGAGAGGCTTGAGAATTTAAGACTGATGTATACATATTTGCAATTTAGATGTAATTCAGGCAGCTTTAATAACTCAATTGTGTTCCTATGCCACAGAAAGAAAACTTTTTCATCTTTTTTACAATTTTTATTTTTAAATATTGGGATGCTAAATCATGAGAGAACTTAGAAAGTGTTATAAGGTCATGGTCTCCAAACAAAGGAAGTCACAGTGTCATAGTGGAGGTTAATGGTGTGTTAAGTTCGCCACTGGAATCAGAAATTAAGAGCTCACAAAAGACTTTTATTTTGTATGTGTTAAAATGCTAGTTATATGATTAACTAATACTGGATATGTTCCGATTTGAAAATAAAAATCAAGGAGTTTTACATTTAGAAAGAGTACAAAATGGGGACCAGCAGTTAGCGTAATGGCTATGTCTCTGGACTCCCACTTAGTCAACCACGGTTCGCGTCCCGGACCCGGTGCCTTAAACTCACGACGGGCGTGTGTGCGTGTGTGACCAAGATCCTGAGAGGAGACTGGAGGAGAAGGGATTGCGGTGTGGCCATCCCCCCTGGGAGGGTGATTTCTCGCTTTCTGTCTCTCTGTCTCTGTCTGTCTGGCGAGCGCAGTGCCCTATAGCGAAAAACCTCTCCAAAAAAAAAAAAAGAAAAAGAAAGAGTACAAAATGAATTGACACAGTGGTACTGAGGGCAAATATTGACAAGTTGAAAATAATTTTGCTTCTATAAGTATTACCTAAAACCTCTCTGTAGAAAAATGTAAAATTTACACATAGTAAATAGTTTCCTTCTCTCCACAAATATAATACCACCAGTAAAATTGTTTTATAAGGTCCCAGACTAATACTTAAATAGCATGTATCTATCAGCTCTATACTCTGAATACATGAATTTTTAATAGTAAAAGATTGCTTTAAAATGATGTATATAATATGAATGTAGTTGAAGATCATATACTAAGTCTTGCTTAGGTTCATTCCACTTGTTATATTTTTGTTCTATTCATTATAGTCTCTTTCTAGAGTAGGATTTTAATTTTTTAACTGTGTACCTAATGTGTATACAATAAAAATATGTGTATAATGTAAAAACAAAAAGAAAAATGAAAATGTTTGAAATAATATTTAAGTGTTCTTTTAAAGGCTCCCTAAGCAAATTATTTTCTCTAATAAAGACTTTTCTTTTTGAGCCCACCAGTAGTTGAAGCAGCTGGATCCCATATGGCTGACCGGTCAAGTCTCAGACAGGGTGGTTTGAAATGCATGCTGGGTGCTTATCTGTGTGTGCCCAAAATCCTAAAAGAAGGGAGAAATGGAGTAGAAGACACTGTGGCATGGCTATCCCCCATACGGTGGGTGCGTTCTCACTTTCCCCCAGCCTCTCTTTCTCTGTCTCTGGTAAGCACAGTGCCCTCTGGCAAATTAAAAAAAGAAGAGATTTTAAAAATGTAATTCTCATATTTTTACATAACAAAAATTTCTCTTTATCTTTAAAAAGGCAATTTTAAAAAGCATCAGAAATGCTTTGAAAAAAAGATTTGTCACCCAAGGTGATATTGTAGCTATATAATGTTTTTACTTATTATCTATTTATTTAGATTATGTCTAAAGAGACTATAAATGTGGATTTTTAAAAATAAAAATGTGATTAATAACTTCTTTTCCTCACTGCATTATGTTAATCTATTTCTATTTTAATAAAGATGTATATTTATAATTTTAATGATTATTTATTATTATTATTTTGCCACAGGGCACATGTACTTGCCAGAGAGAGACAGAGTGAGGGAAAGTAAAAAAATCACCCTATCAGGGGGGATGGACACACTGCAATCCCTTCTCTATTCTCTTCTTAGGATTTTGGGCATGCACACACATGTGTCTGGAGTGCTTTTCAATCTGCTGGGTCCAGGACTCAAACCATAGTTGGCCATGTGGGAATCCAGTGCCTTAACCACCATGCCACCTGCTGGTCCCTGTTGATGTATTTTTTATTTAATTTCTTAAATTGCCAGATAAATTGTATGTGTTTATTTTGTGCAACATGATATTTAAAGTATGTATACATTGTGAAATGACTAGATTTAGCTAATTAACGTAAGCATTACCTCACATAATTATCATTTTTTTAGTTGCCAAAGGCACACATGTGCTCACCAGACAGTGACAGTGATTCAGAGAGTCTGAGGGACAGGAGAAAGTATCTCCCAATGGAGCGTGGTCATACTGTGATCCCTTCTTTGCATCACCATGTCAGGATTTGGGGCACATGTTCACACAGACCAGAATGTTTTTCAAGCTGCAGGGGCCAGTATTCGAACCACAGTGGTCTATATGAAATCTGGTCTCTTTTAACAACTAAGCAATGAGACTGGCCCCATAGTTATCATTTTTGTGGTGAGAACAACTAATATTCATTCTCAGAGCATTTTTTAAAGAATACACTATATTATTTTTAAGTATACTCACCATGCTGTACAAGAGGTTACTTAAACTTATTCTTCCTCTCTAACTGAAGTTTTGTATCCTTTGGTCCGTAGCTCACACCCTCCCCTTACTGCCCCTCTAGTAACCTCCATTTTAGTCTCTAGTTCTATGAGTCAACTTTTTAAGATTCTGCATATTAAGTGAGATCATGCAGTATTTGTCGTTCTGTGACTGGCTTATTTCATTTAACATAATGTTCTCCAATTCATTCATGTTATTGTAAATGGTAGGATGTCCTTCTTTTTTATAGGCTAGTAGTATTCCTATGTATGTATACCACATTTTCTTTATCCATTCATTTATAGGTCAGGTAAAACTTAGGTTGATTGCATAGTTTGGCTATTGTGAATAATGCTGCAATAAACATGGGTGTGCAGAGATTCCCTTGACATAAATGACTTCATTTCCTTTTATACCTAGCTATAGGATTGCTAAATCATATAGTTAATACTATCTTTAATTTTTTGAGGCATCTCCATACTTTTTTTTTTTTTTAAGAAGTTTTGACATCAGTTATCTGGACTGGGCCCAGGACTTGAACTGTAGTCAGCCATATGGGAGTCCAATGATGTAATTGCTATGCCATCTACAGGCCCCCATACTGTTATCTATGATGACTATAATAATTTATGTTCCCACCAATAGTGCAAGAGTTTCCTTTCTGCCATATCTTTGACAACACTTATTACCTTTTAACTTTTTGATGATACCCATCCTAACAGGTATGAGGTGTGTATTTGTGTTTGTGTATTTGTGTGTGTGTTTAAGTTTTGCTATACGGTATGAATGTCCACCACAGAGAAAGAGGGAGAGAGAGACAGAAAACCACTCCTAGATGAGATGGCCTCATTGCAATCCTTTCTCCTCCAGCCTCCTCTCAGGATTCTGGGCACACTCACACACATACCTGGAGTGATTTTAAGTGTGTGTGTGCACTCTCTGGATAGAGACAGAGAGAGATAGTGAGAGAGAAAGGGAGAAATCACCCCCTGGGGATATGAACACATTGCAATCCCTTCTTCTCCATTCTCTTCCTGGGATTTTGGGCATGCGTCCCACCAGGTCTGGAACTTGAACCGCACTCAGCAGGTGGGAGTCTAGCACCATAAGCACCACCTGCTGATCCCTGCTTGGAGTGATTTTTAAGCCACCAGGTCTGGGACTCAAACCATGGAGTTAACCATGAGGGATCCAGTGTCTTAACCTCTACATTACCTATTGGTCTTTCATTGTGGTTTAATTTGCACCTTTTTGATTAGTAATATTGAATATTTTTTACATACTTGTTTATTATTTACATGTCTTCTTTTGAGAAAGCTCTATTCAGGTCTTTTGACTATTTTTAAATTGGGTTCTTTTCTTGATATTAAGTTGTTGAGTTCTTTATATATTTTGGATATTAACCTTTCAGTTTGCAAAAAATATTCCCTCATTCTGTAGGTTGTCTCTTTGTTGACTGTTTCCTGTCTCATGCAGGAGCTTTTTAGTTTAAAATAATCTTAGTTGTCTATTTTTGCTTTTGTTGCCTATACTTTTGGGGTTATAACCAAAGAATCATTGCACAGACCAATGCCATTGAGCCTTACCTGTGTTTTCTTCTAGTAAATTCACAATTTTGGGTCTTACATTTAAGTGTTTAAGTTCATTTGGGTTTATTTTCACATATGGTGTGAGGTATGAGTCTAATTTCATTCTTTTGTATGTGGGGTTCCAGTTTTCCCCGTACCATTTATTTTTTTTATTTTTATTTTGTTTTAGAGATTTTCACTGTAGGGCGTGTGCGCTCGCCAGACAGACAGAGAGAGACATAGAGACAGAAAGCGAGAAATCACCCCCCAGGGGGGATGGTCACGCCGCAATCCCTTCTCCTCCATTCTCCTCTTGGGATCTTGGGCACGCACGCACACGCACCCGGCGTGAGTTTTAAGCCACCGGGTCTGGGACACGAACCGCGGTCGACTACGTGGGAGTCCAGCGACATAGCCATTACGCTAACTGCTGGTTCCCTCCCCGTACCATTTATTGAAGATCTTTTCCTTTCGTCAATGTGTGGTCTTGATATCTTTACCAAAAATCAATTGACCATATATGTGTGGATTTACTCCTGGACTCTGCTGTGTTCCATTGGTCTATGTATCTGTTATTATGCCAGTACCATGCTCTTTGGTTATTATAGCTTTCTGATATGTTTTCTTTTTAAAAAAATATTTCTTTATTTAATTTTGTTATTATTATTTATTTTTTAATTTGACCAAAGAGACACAGAGAGAGAAAGAGTGAGAAGGGGAAAGTAAGAAAACAAGCCACCACGTCTGAGACTTGAACTATGGTTGTCCATGTGGGAGTCCAGCACCTTAACCACCACACCACCTGCCGGCCCCATTAGCTTTGTAATATATTTTCAAGCCAGATAGTATGTCTGCAGCTTTTGCCCAATATTGCTTTGGTGACTTAGGGTCTTTCATGGTTCCATATGAATTTAATATGTGGAAGTATTATTTAACAATAATACATTGTTTGTTATTGAAACAAATACTTCTTTCATATTATCTAAAGCAAAAAAAATTTTAACTTACTGGTGTAAGATCACTCCATTGCCAGGATCCATGTAAATCTGGACTTCTTTTATTCAAACCTATCCATAGCCATCGCTGGCCACTATGTAAAAAGGAAGTGTTAAAGAATTTGAAAACAACACTGGTAAAAAATATTTAGCATTTACATGTCTAAAACCCTGTTAGGTTTATTTAGTAATTCTTTTTAAAAAAATTTTTTTTTGGAGAGGTTTTTGCTATAGGACGTGTGCGTTCGCCAGAGAGACAGAAAGCAAGAAATCACACCCCGGGGGGATGGCCACTCTGCAATCCCTTCTCCATTCTCCTCTCTGGATCTTGGGCATGCACGCACATGCGCCCAGCGTGAGTTTAAGCCACCGGGTCCAGGACTTGAACTGCGATCAACTACATGGGAGTTCAGCGACATAGCCACTACGCTAACTGGTGGTCCCAGGTTTATTTAGTAATTCTTGTCACTGATTGAAAAGCACAGCTTCAAGCACCATAAAGGAGTCTTTTTAAATCAAAGAGAACTTTTAATATAGGTAGCTATAGAAAGTATTATACGTTTTCCAAAAGTACATTTTAAATTGCTTTCCTTGTATGAAAGGCAGACTATTCTGCCTTGAACATTGAAAGAAAGAAAAATGGAAGTTATTCCAAAACTTTCACCAAAGTGTTTCAATATTAGACAATGTTTTCAGATATAGTCAAAATACAACAGTGGCATTTTCATAAAACATTATCAAATTTCTACTCCTCAAAATACAGAACAAATCACTTGGCTGAATTTTTATTAAACAAGATTTAAAAATAATTTAATTCTTAATATCCCTTACATTTAAAGTAAACGAGTAATTGAGTTATTTTCTAAATGGCAAATAAATATGCCAGAGAAATATAATTAAGCAATTACTTAAGTGATTATCTTTAATACTCATAAATGTTAAAATTTTATATATAAGGCATTGAGCTAGGTGCAATGATGACACAGAGAAGTATAAACCTAATACTTACCCTCAAATAGAATATAAAAAAGTCAAGGAGACAAGATATGAACAAAAAATATGCTAAGACCGTTTATGAAATCTATTAAACAACTTGCATAAATTTTAAGCACTACCAAATCCAGAGAAAGGAGAAGTTATTGTGAACTACAGTCAGTGAGGAAACAACTTCATGAGTTTGGAAGGACAAAAAGTTTTCAGAGAATGGCTGATGTTTCCTTCTAGCTATAATTTGAGTGCTTACCATGAGCCAATATTCAGGGAGGGGAAAAAAGGCATTCCAAGGAAGACTATCTACACAAACATATGGAGGCAGAAACATACATTTAAGTGATCTGTTCCCCTCAGATGAACTTATGCTCTAGCCAGGGAGAGAAATTGAGCATAAATAGAAGTGCTATAGCCATAGAAAATTTTCCCTGTCTCTAACATCACTTGAAAATATTCCCTAGAATTTAATACACATTTTAGGTCTTAATAAATACACCAGTTGTAGTCCATATAATGTGACCTTTTGTTGGCACATGATAGGTATGATCAGCATATATATATATGCCTACATAATACATACATATATGTAAGTGTTGTATTTACATGTAAAATACATATTAGGGAAGGAATAGGATCCAACTCTGAAAACTATCTGTCTTCTCAAACTCAATAGCATATAATATGCAATATAAGGAATGTACAGCTAACAGACTACTGGGAAACTTAAGTTTGCATTTTTACAAAATTTGCTAGCAAATCAAAGGCCAAAGCAAACAATTTTAAATTAATTTTTCTTGGTTTAATACAATAGTTGCTTTTCTTTTCTCTTTCCTTTATTGAACATCCCTTCATTTTTAAAAATCACTAAGTACTTTTTCATTTTTCAACCTCAAGTTTTTCAACTTATTGAAATGGAAATGAAGTCTGCCCCTTTGGGTTTTTATTGTTACTCAGTTTCTTTCTTTCTTTTTTTAAAAAAAGAATTATTTTATTTAACTTTATTTATTTGTTTGTTTATTTTAAGTTTTCCAGAGAGGAACAGAGAGAGAGAGAGAGAGAGAGAGAAAGTGAGAAAGCAAGCCACCAGGTCTGGGACTCGAACCACAGTTGGACATGTGAAAATCTAGTGCCTTTAACAACCATGCTTCCTGCCAGCCCCTATTCTGTTTCTTTCATAGAGAATGATCACCAATTTGTGTATTAAGATGAATTCAGTGCAGATAATGAAGTCCAGTTTAAATTTAGTAGTTGGTATGGTTAGAGTGTTTGTCATCTCTGAAACTCATGTTCAAATTTAATTGCCACTGTAATGACAGTAAGAGGAAGGACCTTAAGAAGGGACTAGGTCCTGGGGACTCCATCCTTATGAATGGATTCAGGCCATTACCACAAAAGTGAATTAGTTATCAGGAAAGTGGGTTGTTACACAACAAGCCTTGTGGTTTTTCTTTTGTATGCCCTTCTATTCTTTCACCATAGAGCGATACAACTAGAAGGCCTTCACCAGCATCACCATACTCTTGGTGTGCCCAGCCTTCAGAATTGCAAGAAATAAATTTATTTTCTGTACAAATTACCAAGTCTCAGGTATTGTTTTATAGCAGTAGAAATTATAGTAAGTAACTACAAGGAATTAACGGTTCATGTCTTCAACTAATAAGTTTTCTTATAAAGCTTCTGGATGTCTAATATTGCACAAGTGTTGAATTTCTACACCATGGGGTCTAGACAATTGCCATATATAGCACAATTACAATCAGATGGATAAAATAAAAAGGAAATAAATTTTTTCTTTATATTTACTTGGAGACATAACTTCATTTCTCCCAAATATTTACACTTTATATATCTGGATCTGGGGAATTTGTACAGCATTTTGTGTTTCACTAAAGCAAGTATTAGATATTTTACCTTCTTTACACAATCAAAAGTACAACTTGGAAGATGATCAAATATCATTCATGACCTGCATTTAAGATGCTCCCACTGGCAACTTTTTTAGAAGTCATTCTCAACATTTCTAGGCCCCTCAATTTCCTGTCAAATCTTCTCTCAGCCAATGGCTCCCTTTCCTCCCACTTAGAAACTTCTCTGTTTTTAAACACATTTCTGGTTCCTTTGTTACATCTTTCAGAAAACCCAGAGCAAAGAATTTAACAAATTGTCTAAAATTTCTAATCATCGCAACTTTCTGAGATTGAACTTCATTTCAACATAGAAATTTACTTTTTTCTGCCTCATTTCAAGGGATTCACTAGTGTGTCATAAATACAGAAAATAGTAGCTACTTTTTCCTTTTTTTAAAGTGTGCGGTCAAAGGTAGAACATATTTCCTGAATTGTAACTTGTTCCTGGTTTACCCTGATTTAGCTGTAGGCAGATAAAATGAAGAAGAAATTGAAAGCCACATTAATAATTGCACATCTCCAATGTAGGTTTTAGAAAATTTGAGGGGGAAATGCACCTGATATAACTGGAATATCAAGTCAAACTGAAATTTTCTCTCTCTTTATAAATTTCTACTCCAAGCACTAAATATATAGTTTTTTTTAAAAAAAGCATTTACTTATTTACTCATTAATCTATCTACTTATTTGTTGTGATTTTCAAGCCACCAGATCTGGATCTCGAACCATGGTTTGCCATGTTGGAATCCAGCAACCCAACCACCATGCCACCTGCTGGCCCAGTATATAGTTTTAAGGCTATTAGGTAGAGAAAACATTGCATTAAAGGCGAATATCCTTAATCAAATTTCCTGCTGCATCTGGTCGCTGAGGAAAACAGTACCTCACCCATAACCCCCAATAAATACTATTTGATGAGGGCCTTAGTCTGCAAAGCCTTAGATTTATATCTAAATCCATTCATGCCAGATCACAGGAGGTAGTGTACACAGTGGCAATGGCATTGCAAACAAGGCTTTCTTTTCTAATCCTATGACTACTTTTGCTCTACAATGGCTTTCCCTGTTGAGCTGCCTTTAAGAGTTGCAGAGATCTTAGAGCCTTAATGACTTGTGCACCATGAATCCTTTTCATTGAAATACAAATAGAGATGTGGAATTTAGATTGTAAGAAGTATAGCAATAATCTGACTTAACTCCTTGGTATGCAGTGTACAATTTGGGCAATGGACATCTTGCTGAGAAAGGTCAATTCGTGCAATAAAAAGCTAGAGCATTCAAGAAGCAAGCTTTAGAGACATTTTCTAATATAAATAGGTTTGCTTCCTTCCTTTCCTTTAAGCCACAATTACAATTTTGGTTTTAGAATGTGTTCTTTAAGTAGAGTGCAGGCAAACAGTCTCTTTATTAATGAAGCACTTGTTAAGCAGACAACATAGACTGCTTAATAAGTCATTGTGTTTGCTGCCAGGATAAAGGACAAAGAAATGATGGCTCCTACGAGTTGAAGGGCTTAGAGAGATTTGTTTTTTCTTTTGTGCTTTTCTATTTTCTAAATTCACTATGCATTATTTTTGTAGCTAGAAGAAAAGTAAAGATAGAATACTCTGTAAAAAATTAATCTTATAAAACCTGTATGTATAGAAATGGAAGAAAATGGAAACGTTTTACACTGAATGTTAGCTATGTTTATAAGTAGGAGCTAGGGTTTGAGGTGATTTTTATTTTCTTCATTATCCTTTTTTATATTTTCCAAATTTTACATAATTAATTTATACTAGTTTTTTTAACAAAGGGGTACTAAATAAGTGTGATCAGAAACAAAGAAATAAATTAAGAAGAGTTCTTTAACTACCTCACATTAGTTTTGGTTTTGAGTATAATTCATTCTGTATATAAATGCTCTTTATAGTCCTTTCTGTCATAGATGCTAGTACAATGTTTTCTACCATTGTTTTCCACAAATATCTATAACCTCATTGCCTAGCACTTAACCATGGCTCCCTGTTCTGGTTCCAACCTCTTGCTCGGCAGCTAGAATTTATTTGTTATATTAGCATTTTACTTAAAAATAGTTTACTTAGACAACGTGATATTGTGTGTGTCAAGCTTGAGATTTAGGGGCCAATAAATTGTCCTGCTTGAAATTAACATTTTAGGGAGGATTGTTCTTTTCCTGGGAGGAAGGAGAACCACATGCTATAAAATCAAGAAATTTCAAAATCCATTTCTTTAAAACTTAAAGCAATTAGCAACATTTTCATATTGCAATGAATAAGTTAGTGCTAAGTAGCTGGTGGCCACTGAGATGAGCATCACTCTCCAATTTGCGGTAGTCCCTAATTTATTACTTCCTGACCCACTTAACTTGCTTATATTGTGTGCATGTCCCATGGTAATGCACATAGCTATTGAGTTAATAGTCTCGAGTCAAATATCATGGGCTTATCTCATTAGGTGCTGGAAACACCTCTGGTAAAATTCATTATTCATTCCTGACTTAGTATACAAACATAAGGTATACTTAATATAATTCATAAATATAATACATATAAGCATTTTTATTAAATTAAGAACAGGTCAAACCAATAGCCATATCACACTTGATGAAGCATTATTAAATGCATTTCCATGAAGGTCAGAAAAAGCTAAGGATCCCTGTTACCATTACTGTTTATCTTATTTGGAATTAATCCCCTGCGCGATAAAAGACAATACTTAAAATGTGTAAATATTTTTAACATATCAAGCAGAGGGGCAAGCATCCTATAAAAGGGTAAAAATTATACTGTTTACATTAAAAGCTAGATTGATCACACTCTTTGTGCTGGAGAGATACTAATTGGCAAGATTTGTTTCAAGTCTTTTATTATTGAGCAAAGAAGGAGACTTGGACTTAATTAAAACTGATAGTGAATAAATTAAGTCTTTGGGTATTTTATTGCAATATTTTTATGTTTCTTTTTCAGGATAGTTTTATTTCTGTTTTTATAATTACATATGTTATAATTATTTAGACTTGGGGTTATGTTTTTATACTGTATTCTTCCTTCCATTCTATTATAATAAACTACCTACTTATGTGTTCCTGGTTGTTTTATTCATTTTACAGTTAGAATTTGTCTGAAATGATTTTCCAAGAAGCGGTCATAGGTGGTTTATACCAATTAATCTCTTCAGAAATGAAGTTAATTGAAACTAAAATTAATACATTACAAACTTTTTAAATCTCAAATCTCTTTAGATGTCAGTCTTTAAATAACTCCTTTATTTAATGTTCCTAAGAGGAAGGTTAGTTGCAGTTTCTTTGTGTTTTCATGACCTGTTTTTTTTCTTTTTTGCAGTTTTTCTTTGGGGTTTTACTTAACTCAAAATGATTAAGAAGGTATTTACTAGGGTATCTTTAAGTGGCAGCTTATTTTCCATAATTTTACCTGGTATTGATATATGCTAGATACTTGATTTATAGATTTGGGTCTTTTTTTCTATTCAGAAAATGAAGGTAGAAAAAAAGAAATTAATGCATATGAGTTAAAGTCCCCCATGATTGTCCCCAAAGCTTTAGAGAAATTTTCTTCCCCTAAAAGAATCACCTGGCTTACATTTCTCCACACTGTCTTTCAGGACATCAGGAAATCATCGAGGAAGCCTTTCACTCTAACATCAAAATAACAATGGCTGGGAACCAGCAGTTAGTGTAATGACTATGTCGCTGGACTCCCATGTAGTTGACCATGGTTCGAGTTCCGGACCCGGTGGCTTAAAACTCATGTTGGGCACGTGTGCGTGTGTGCCCAAGATCCCGAGAGGAGAATGGAGGAGAAGGGATTTTGCGGCGTGACCATTCCCCCTGGGGGGTGATTTCTCGCTTTCTGTCTCTCTGTCTCTCCCTCTCTCTATCTTGTGAGCACATGCGCCCTATAGCAAAAACCTCTCCAAAAAAAAACCAAAAACCAACCAAACAAAAAACAAAACACAATGGTTGTAACATTGATAACATCTTTTATTACTTCCTTATTTTCAGAGTAGTTGTAGTAATTTTTTGTTTCCTATAGGGCGTCTGCACTTGCCAGATAGACAGAAAGCGAGAAATAACCCCTCAGGGATGGCTACGCTGCAATCCCTTCTTCTCCATTCTTCTCTCGGGATCTTGGGCACGCATGCACACATTCCTGGCATGAGTTTAAGCTACCAGATCCGGCACTCAAACTGCGGTCGACTACATGGGAGTCAAGTGATGTAGCCATTACGCCATCTACTGGTCCCAAGAATAGTTGTAATAGTTTTCTAATTAGTAACCCTTCATCTACCTACCAATACATGCACATACTTTTTGTGTTTTTTTGCTTGTTGACTTAAGATCAAACTCTTCCTATGGCATGCAAGAAAATTTCAATTTCCTACTCAACTGCCATTTTCTAGCTAAGTGACATGACACATTTCTCCTTGACTTATCTGTACATTCTGATCTCCATCCTTTGCTTATATTGCTTTCTTTGGCTCTTCTGCTTGATCTTACTTTTCAAACTATTACCTATTTTCCCAAAACCAGCTTTTTTCATGACATTTTCTTCTAACTATACTTTCCAGAAACACTTCCTCCTCTAAATTCCCAAGGCTCTTTCTTACCAATGTGCTAGAGTTTTCATCATATTCCCCACTAGTGGACTTAATTATACGAAGGCTGTGTACTCTGTCTCGCTCACCTTTGAAACCCTCGTAGTGTCTTGTGTCTGAGTGCTGGATGTTGTGCAATGGTAAACCTGAGTGACCTTCTAGATAATAAAGCATATCAATTCTGAATACTTAGAAGACATTAAAATTTCCCATTCTAAAAGTATTACCTGAATTGGTCCGTTACTAAGTGAAGAAATTCCTTTATTTTATCCGCATGACTGAAGCTAGGAAGATGTGCTCCAAGTGCTTGGCAAAATCTTTCAGCTTCTTCCCAGTTCCTCTTCCTCACAATTCTTTCTATATGGAATACCTTAACAATATAAAATATTAAGTTGTTTCCTGGTATGGTCATAAAGTCTTCATAGTTTTAAAGTAAATTAAAGTCAAACATGTGGAATTCTGAAATGGCTTCGGATTGGCAGACTGAAGGCATACATAAATGCACATGTACTGAGCTGTGGACAGGGCCTGTTGAGTATATCAACTACAGGCCAGCACAGGTGCCAGCCACTGCGGTCAGATGGATGGCCTTCCTTAGCTAGGCTGGGAGCTGCTCCAACCAGATACCATGTTCACCTGTATTCCTGGGACCTTGGATGATAAAATGAACCAGCAGACAAAGATACATGTGAACGCTTTGTAAGTGGACTTTTGTGAAGAAATGTACTAACAATATAACCCTGAACATAAGACACTGCAACCTGCACAGGAACAGGACTACCTGAGGAAGAAGAATCAAAGGGCACTCTGTACAGATGTCAAATGTTGATAGAAGGTGGCAAAACAAAACCTGATGTTTCAGGCTGTTTTCTTTGGTTTATGATGACAAATTTCAGTCCAAAAGAGCTAATTATTTTCTAAAAAGAAGAGGAAGACGGAGAGGAGTACAAGGAGATGACACAATGGTTAGCTGAATGACTGGTCCTTATTCCTTTGTTCCCTGTAATATGATTATGTGATCTTGCCGTGGGCTCCTGGTGGATAAAGACCACCTAGATGTGGCCTGGACCATGTACTTGCTGTGATCAATGGGATATTAGTGGAGGTTAAGTGAACAGAAGCCTAAATGTGCTTAAGTGGTTAGTCTTGCCTTCTTGCTACAGGGATTTACCATAGGAAAAACAAGTGTCCATAGCATAGAACCTTAAATTCAAAGTCCTGCTAAATTGAAGACAGATTCCAAATCAAAGGCAGGAACCTGCACAGCTGACTGCAGTTGGAAGCAGAGCTGACCATTCAAGCCCACTCAACTCTTTTTGATTTGTATTTTTTTGTTTGTTTGTTTTTTGAGAGGTTTTTGCTATAGGGCACGTGCGCTCACCAGAAAGAGAGAGACAGAGAGATAGAAAGCAAGAAATCACCCCCTCCCCCCCCCAGGGGGGATGGCCATGCCACAATCCCTTCTCCACGTTTCTCCTCTTGGGATCTTGGGCATGCACTCACATGTGCCTGGTGTGAGTTTACGCCACCAGGTCCGGGATTCTAACCGTACATGGCAATCCAGCAACAGAGCCATTACACCCACTATTGGTCCCAAGCCCACTCAACTCTTTTTTTTTGGAGAGGTTTTTGCTACAGGGCGCATGTGCTCACCAGAGAGACAGAGAGAGACAGTGAGACAGAAAGCAAAAAACCAACCCCAGGGGGGATGGCCATGCCGCAATCCCTTCTCCTCCATGCTCCTTTCAGGATAATGGGCACACACGCACATGCGCCTGGCATGAATTTACGCCACCAGGTCCGGGACTAAAACCATGGTTGACTACGTGGGAGTCCAGCGACATAGCCATTATGCTAACTGCTGGTCCCAAGCCCACTCAACTCTTAACTGGCCCAGAGATCTGTGAATATGAACCTAAATGTTTTTGTCCACAGCCACTGAACTTTGGGGTGATATCTGATGGTTTGTGGGAGTAGCTAACTGACACACACCTGATTTTTTTTTTTTAATCATAAGAAGTAATAGAACTCTTAGCTTGACAATAAAAATTGGAAGGATATGAGAATCATGAACATGGTGTCAATATGGCATACATCTTACCCAATTTTCCAGAAAAGGCCAGTTCTGGCTCTGGCCTTGTTCTTTCAGGTTGTACACATGCAGGGTGTGGAGTGAGCTATCTGATACAGAGGTCCCATGATGCCCTGCTAAGTACTCTGTGCTCTCCAACACTTCAGCTAGGTTATATATGGCTATGGGGAGGAGCACAATTTGTACAAGGACATGAGCTTAGTAGAAAAATAAACCTCACTGAAGGATTAAATGGAAAAGTTACTTTACCTTATAACATGAAAGACTTGAGGGGAAAGTATGCCATCCTTCAGGACAGGGGCTGTCAGGCTTGGGAGCTACTTCCTCAGGCTTAAGTGGTCCACTTATTTTCTTGCAGATTGAAAGTGCTCTGAAGCTTCTGCAGTCCTTCACCTCCCATTTTCCAAGAGACTTTCCAGTAGACATAGCCACACACCCACCTGGAGAAGCTGGGATTGAGTTGGAAAGTTAATTAAAAATTAAAATTGTAAATTAAAGTCCAAACATTTTCTGGTGTTTCTATTCTTTATTTGAGTTAAGATGGGGAGAAGAGTAGGAAAAAAATGGTTGAAAGAGAGGAAAGAAATGTGTTGTTCAGAATGATGATGATGATAATATTGACAACGGGTAATACAGAGAAATGCTAATGACTTGTCAGAGACTACTCTAAAAGAATTAAATGAGCTAATCTGCCCAACAAACCTAAATGGTTTAAATGTCATAACTGAAGTACACTGAGGATGAAATTACTTATTCAAGGTCACAGAATTAGTAAATGGTTGACTTAGTATTTGAACTCTGGCAGTGTGCTTCCTAGACCTGTACCTAAACCCTCATGCTGCTCAGGATAGTGGTTCAAATTAGCTCAATTACTCTGAGCAGTTTTTAAGTAGCTTAGTAAATCTCAAAACAAACTCTCTCAGCTTTAGATTCAAAGAAAGGGCTGGTACCATAAAGGTAGAAGTAGGTAAGGTGTAGCACAGGTTTGTTGATTATTTATTTTATGACAGCCATACTTTTATTTATTCATAACAACATTAAAAGATAGTTTGTATAACCAGATCCATCTTACAATGGAAGATTAAGTGACTTGCCCACAGTCATAGTGAGTGGTGAAGTAGGGATTTATTCTCACATAGGTCTGGCAAAAGGCCACACTCCATTTTTCGTTACCCCATAGTGTCTGAAGTGGGCAGAAAATAAGAGTTATATACACTGGAAAGTAATGAGGACAAATTTTACTCCATCAGAGAATTCATTTCTATTATCTAATAGAAAATTTTAATTTAAGATAAAATTTAGTCAGATTAGTATCTGTATCATTTATCTTCTTCTGTAAATAAAAAGATAACCTTCTTATTACCAATATTCATATTGATGGTAATGACCCTGTGTTACGGATTTTGTGGGCATTCTCTATTTCAAATACTGTGTTCAATTATAAACTCACATGTTCCAATTTCTGTATTATACAAAGTGGTCCTCACAACTGTATTAGATCAGCATAAGAAAACAGAAATGATTCAAAGGGATAAAAGCAAAATGCCTTCTAACTGCTGTCTTACGCAAAGTTAAAATCCTCCAAATAGCATTGGCTTGGAAATCAGGAGATCCAGATTTTACTAATTTAATGACCTAATTATTAACCATATAATTTTTGCCAAATAAAACACCATTCTCAGCCTCTATTTTCTCAACTCTAGAATTAGAAGGGACATCTAACATCTTATATGTCTTAAATGTTCTGATTCTACGTTAAATTATAGTCAATGCTTAAGGCTACTTGGAGAAAGATTAATGTTCAGGATAAATAATGCCTATAATATATTGCTTTCTTAATTCTTGTCCATTGAGAATAACAGAAATAAACACATTTGATTATGGAGAAAGAAGCAGAAAGATAAAACTTCACAATGAAGTTTCCAGATTCTGTTTGAGACTTAACAAAAAAATAGGCTGGATCTGTGGTCTAGTGGTTAAAGGAGTTGGATCCCATATGGCTGATTGTTGTTTGAATCTTGGCCTTGCTGGCTTGAAAAACATGCTGACAAGATGGAGAAATGGAGGAGAAGGGATTGAGGCATGATCATATCCTTTTGGGAGGTACTTTCTCATATTCTGTCTCTGCCTGAAGAGTATATGTACCCACTGACCAAATAAAAAAAAAAAAAAGGGTAAAAAAAGATTAAAACGACAACACAACAACAAATTCACACTTAGACAGTGGTTTGGAGAACTGTTTTCTAACTTGTTTCATTGGCTTATCCCCAAGAATTAAAGCAAAGACAGAGTCTCTGCCTCTACTTATGACTCCATCGGTACAGTTCAGCCTTGAAGAGCATCATTTCCCTCACATTTTAAAAGTAAATGAGGAAGATATTCAGGAGGGATGCTGCATCTCACTAGCCATTGTATTCGACCACTTCAGAGGCCAAGGCACTCACTCACCTGGCTCAAGTAAATTCCAGTTGGAAAAGGTTACAGCCTGCTTTGTCCCACCAACAGTTGCCCAACTATATTCTCCACGTGAATCAGCATCTGCCAGGCCAGTCCAGAAATATTTTCCTAGAGATTTGTCATACTTTTTCATCATGTCATTCAAGTATTCTTGCTCAAATCTAGAAAAGAATAGCCAAATAGATAAATGTTGTACAATAACTGAGTTAATTCGAAGATACAATTTTTTCTTTGGAGGATTGTTTAGCTAAAGTACTCAAGCACTGAAAATATACTAGTACATGTTTACTGATGGTCACACCTGCTAGTGATAGTCAGATTGCAGTTTGTTCCAAAAGGGACCGCGTCCTTGTAAATCTTGTAACAGGCTTCTCCATGTCTCTTCCAGCCCTAAGTCAGAGGAGAAATATTGTCACACTGTTTTTCAAACTTGATGATTTTGGCCTCTGACAAGGAAGTTTCTCTTACATTGATAAGCTCTCACTGCTCACGGAAAGTGAGAGCACAGTCAATGAATTCATATAGGTGATAAAGGTGGGATGAAATTCATAGACAAGCTCCACAAGATTGTGAGTCTGTGTCAGATGGAAGGTACGGATTAATTCTCTTTACCTTTAGTGATGCACAAGAGTATGGCAGCTGTTGGTGAAATTATTTTTGAACAGGAATAATATTGGTAGAGGAAGCAGAGATATCAGCATGGAAGATGATGATTTTTTAATAATTATTTTATTTAACTTTATTTATTTTAATTTGACTAGAGAGAGAGGGAGGGAGGGAGGGAGAGAAAGAGAGAGAGAGCGAGAGCGCAAAGCAAGCCACCAGGTTCGGGATTTGATGGTCGGCCATGTGGGAGTCCAATGCCCTCAGCCACCACACCACTGCCAGCCTCAATGATTTAATTTTTTAATAGAAATTCACAAATAGGTAATAATTTTTCTTTCTGTAAAAGCATCTATGCTATGAGTCACTGTCTTTTGTCTTGCTCTGATGTAAACAGATGCTAGTGATTCTATTTTCCGAGTCTGAATACTTTAAGTTTCAACTACCAACCTTAACCAAGAAGATATAATACTGCTTAGAAAAATTTGCACAGGAAGTTTACATACCTCATCTGGAGGACACATTTTATCAGACTTTGTATCATTCATTTTTTCTCCCCTTTTTTTGCATACATATTTAAGTTTCTTTTCACATGGTTGAACTTTCCACTGACCTAGCTATAAAAAGAAAAAGAAAAACAAAAATATTGTTTACAAAGAAATAATTTCTTATATATTTAGAATTCAATTCACAAAATCAATGAAAGAAAGAATGAAAGTGAATATAAATGAATGAATATGAGAACACGCTCCTAGAAAATGCCACCCAACGGGCTTATAAGATTATGGCTCATAGTTTGTTATCTCAGGATCTCTTGAAGTTCACATTACAAATAAATTTCTTTTTCTTTCTCTCTCTTGTTCTTTCTTTCCTTTTCTCTCTCTCTCTTTCTTTTTTTTTTCAGTATGCTATAGGGCATGTGCAGAGAGAGAGAGAGAGATTGACAAAGAGAGAGATTGAGAGAGAGAAAGAAAATGAGAAATGACTCTTCAGGAAGGGATGGCCATGAGAGAGTAAGAGAGAGTAAGAAAGCAAAGCAAGCCACCAGGTTTGGGATTCAAACCATGGTCAGTCATGTGGGAATCCAATGCCCTCAGCCACCGCACCACCTGCCAGCCTCAATGATTTAATTTTTTAATAGAAATTCACAAATAGGTGAATACAAGGATTGAAAACAATCCTTTCTCCATTCTCCTCTCAGGATTTTGTTCACACGTGCATAGGTGCCTGGTATAATTTTTTCAAGTTGCTGGGTCCAGGACTCAAACCACACAGTTGGCCATATAAGATCCAGATGCCCTAACCTCAAACCCACTCTGAATTTCATTTATTCTATAATAGTAACCATAGACTATTAAATGCCACTCAATCTAGAAGTTGAGGAGAGGAGAACTTAGACCCATGAAGAGTTGCCAACATTCTAGTCTTCTTCCATAAGACATGGCAAAATTTGTCTACAGGTTAAAAACTTATAGGCATGCCATTTAATCTGTCTGTTTCCTCATACATAGATTGATTTTGGTGGTTAGAATAGTTAGTCTCCAAAAATTCTAGATCAAAAGTTCCTTTGGACTCTACTTCAGCCTAGACTTGAAATTTCTCTCTTCCAAGTATGCTACTTATCATTAATTTTGCTTAATTGACTAAGTCACTCTGCTTTCTTCAAATTAAATTTTAGTAAGTCAAATGTGATAAGGGTCAGATTGAGACATTAGGATGCATCTAGCTATGCCCTCAGTTCACTTTTGCCCATAGCACCTCATTTCCATATTTGGTACTTTTTCTGATGACGTCGTGGATATCCTTTTACATAGAGCCCCAAATGTGACACATATCAATTCATTTCACTAGTGAAACACTTCTAAATACACACACCACTTACTGCTTCCACTGAAGTTTCTCCAGATGTCTGAGTGGTGCAGTCAATCTCCTAACCAATTAGGATTTCATAGGAAATGGATGCAAACAAGAAAATGGAGATACATATATCTTTTTTGTTTAGGATATGCTATTTTGGGCTCTTAACTAACATATCTTCAATAAATATTTAGGCATTCTACTGAACAAAATAAAAAGAAAATTATTTTTTCACTTCTCAAAGTAGGATTAATATAACTTAATCTGAACATAAATTTTGAAGATGAAGGGTTCAGCATGTGGCATGGTGGTTAAGGTGCTGGACTCCCACCTGCCTGACTATGGTTTACATCCCAGGCCTGGTGGCTTACTTCCTCACTTTCCCTTTCTCTCTTTCTCTCTCTGTCTCTCTCTGGTCAAATTAAAAATAAATAAATAAAATATAAAAAAATGAAAAGATTTAGAAGATGAGATACTTTCGGGTAAACCGTGAGCACTTGTCAACTATCACATTGATGGCAGAGAGGTGTATGGAAGCCCTGGTCCTGAGAGAAAGCAGGTTATTAGAAACAGTGTGGCTCAAGAATCTGAGTTCTAAAGGAAGTCTCTAGGTCTGATTCAGACCAGAGCAGATGCTCTTAGACAGGAAGCGGGTTGCTTATTTAGTACTTGCTTTTATTTATTTACCTTTTTCAGTAGTTAACTGAAAGACAATACACCGGGCTCTTACCTTGAATTTTCCTTCCTAGCTTATATAAATATCTCAACTAAAGTAATCTTAATATTATTATCAAGTATGACAATAGAATATAAATAAATGACAAGGTTTCTTACCTTTCCTAAATAGGAAACACAGTTTGGAGTTTTATTGTAGGGAAGATTTGGCTCATTCTCATCCCAATATGTTAGAGTAACTTCAGTACCATCTGACCACTGGAATAAAGCTGGTACATTTATGTTCTTAAGGCCTATCCATGTTTCTTCTTTGACATCTAAAAGAAAGATATTTTATTTATTTGGTTTTACTCAATTAAATATTTCAATATGCCTATTGTTACTAAGATGATAATATGGGGGCTTTAAGAGCCTTTAGGGCATTGTTATATATATATATATATATATACACACACACATATATATATGTACATGCACACACACATATATTTATTTATTTATTTTTGTTGTTGCTTGTTTTTTTTTTTACCAGAGGGGACATGTGCTCACCAGACAAAAATCACCCTCCAGTGGGGTGTGGTCATGCTTCAATCCCTTTTCCTGTATTTCTCCATTCCATCAGGATTTTGGGCACTCACATGCATGTGCCTGGCATGTTTTTCTTTCGTTCTTTCTTTTTCTTTCTTTCTTTCTTTCTTCCTTTCTTTCTTTCTTTCTTTCTTTCTTTCTTTCTTTCTTTCTTTCTTTCTTTCTTTTTTTTTTCCAAGAGAGATTTTTGCTACAGGGTGTGTGCACTCACCAGAGAGACAGAGAGACAGAAAGTGAGAAATCGCCCCTGGGGGGATGGCCATACCACAATTCCTTCTCCTCCATTCTCCTCTTGGAATTTTGGGCACATGCACCTGTCATGAGTTTTAAGCCACCAAGTCCAGGGCTTGAACCATAGTCGACCACATGGGAGTCCAGTGACATAACCATTACATCATCTGCTGGTCTCACCTGGCATGTTTTTCCAGTCCCCAGAACAAGACCTCAAACTGCAGTCAGCCATATGGGATCCAGCTCCCAATTTAAGCACTGCCCTACAGGGTTGGCTCAAGTCTTTATGTATTGTTTTTCCTTTTTAAAATTGTTTATATATGTATACACATACACACACATATACATATATGTATATGTACACACAAACACATATACACATTTAAAAATTTTACATTTAATCCTAGAACATCTTTATAGCATACAAAATTATTTTTCCCAGCATATCAATCAAGTTAAAGATATTACCACATGTATTATCATCAACAGATGACGTCACATTCTTATGTCTGTTAAATATTTTTTTCCTGATCACCTCCTTCCCACCTCCTATTACCCACCCCCTCCTATATTGTCTCTGGTATCTACACTTGCCCACCCTGCTATTATACCTTCCAGTCTTTCAGTTTCTGCCACAGAGTGCAGACTTTTGTTGTGTGTGTACAGACACACATGTATAGACACACACACACATACATATATATACATATATATAATTTTTTTTCTTTTTTTTAAACATTTTTTTATTTTCTTATTTTTTTCTTTTGGCATATACTGAATGCAGACATATCATGTCGGTCTTTCATAGTCCGGCTCACTTTACTTAGCACTAAGTTTTATATATTTATGTCCAGCTGGTGGCATATTGCTTAAGGTGTTGGACTCCCACACCTGAGACTTGAGGTCTCAGGCCTGGCAGCTTGAAAATCACACCAGGCATGTGGGTGAGGGTGCTCAAGGGCCCAGGAGGAGAATGGAGGAGAAGGGATTGCAGCGTGGCCATCCTCCCTGAAGGGGTGAGTTCCCACTTTCCCTCTGGCTATCTCTCTCCAGTGAGTGCATGTGCCCTATGGCAAAAACTTAAATAAAAACAAAAAACAAGATAAAACAAACAGCCCACTTCCATATTCATCCACTTTGTATCAAATTTCAGAATCTCTTTTACTTATTTATTTTTTAAATGGCTGAGTAGCATTCCATAGTGTATTTATGCCACAATTTTTCAATCCACTCTTCTGTTCTGGGGCATTTGGTTTGATTCCAAGTCTTAGCAATTGTGAATAATGCTGTAATAAACACAGATGTGCAAGTGTTTTTCTGACTGTTTTCCTATCGTCTGGGTAAACACCCAAGAGCAGTGTTATTAGATCATATGGTAGATCTACTTGTAAATTTTTGAAGAACCTCCATATTGTTCTTCACAGTGGCTGTACTAATTTACATTCCCACCTACAGATAGGAAGGTTCCTTTTTCACCACAGCCTCACTTGTCATTCTTTTTTTTTTTTTTTTTTTT